GCCCCGGCCGCGGCTCCGCTCCTGCTGTCCGCCGCCGTAGCCGCTCTGCTCCTGGTAACCGCCACCGCCGCTCATGGACGACTGTTCCTGACCATAGCTGTTGGCTACAACCGTGAAAACGAATGGTTAAAACACCAAAAAAGGTGAAATTTAGGCCCAGAACGGCGCCGCTGCCACCCCCCACCAGGCTCACATCCGCTGCTGCCCCCGCTGTTGTACTGGCTCTGCTGGCTGTAGCTCTGGGGCGGGTTGTAGGAGGACTGCTGGCTGTAGCTCTGCTGCTGTCCGCTGTAGCTCGACTGTTGGTTGTAGCCGCCGCTTGGAGGTTGGCCATAGCTAGAGCTCTGCGAGCTGCTCCCATAGCTGAAAAAAAACAAACCCAAAAAAACCGATATTCATTGAAAGACCAGGTTTTTTGACCCAAACGGCAGCGCCTCGGGGTGGCTGTTGCCTACCTGCCAGTGGAGGAGCTGGCCGCCGGCGGCTGGGAATAGCTGGGGTAGGAGGAGGGTTGCCCGTAGGAGGTCTGCGAGCTCTGCCCGCTGCCGTAGCCGCTGGTGCTGCCGTAGGCTTGGGGGGTTGACTGGGTGCTGTAGCCTAGAGGGCGAGTGGAAAAAAGGGTGGAACACCCCAAAAAAAGACCCGGTAGTGGGACAGGGGGGTGTCAGGGGCTTGGCTTACTGCTCTGGGTCTGGCCATAGGAGGAGCTGTAGCTGTTCTGGCCGTAAGCAGAGGTGTCAGTCGACTGGCTGTAGCCGCTGTAGCTCTGCTGGCCGTAGGGCTGGCTGCTCTGCTGTGAGTAGCCCTGCCCCGGCGGGGTTGGGTATGCCCCGTAACTGTTACAAGAACAAACAAAACAAAAACAAAACAAAACACCACCAAACTCACGTGAAATCCCCACCAAAACACCCTTTTCTCGACGTATTTCTAAGGGTCGAGATGTAAAAGGTTATATACAGGGAGGAAGGGGGGGTGGGACGCACCTCTGCGTCGCTGTCTGGCTGTAGTCTGTGGGGAAAAACAAACCCAAAAAGATCGTTAGTTGTATAAATAAACGTACGCGTACCTGAATATAAACGTATTTATGCTATACGCTCCAACTGTATTAATCACTCAACCGCTGGAACAGCCAAAGTAAGGCACAAGTTGAGAGTTTGATTATTTACCCCACTCAGAAGACCTAAAGGCCTACTTTAAGACCAAATATCCCCTCTAAGCAAGCACCCACAAACCAAATTTAACTACACAGCTGCAAAAACGAACCCAAACGTGGAAGTTTCCCTCACAGATCCCACAACAAAAGGGGGTCTTGCCCCTCGCCGCAAGATGGCGGCTATCGGCCTCCTCCCGCCTTACGGCGTAGACAGCTGCTCCACGCTCTGAAAGAAACTCAGAGGATCTTCCCCAAAACGAAGGGTTTTAGGCGGCGCCAGCCCTCCCCGGGGGGTTATTTTCCCTTATTCCAGGGAATATTTTAAAGGCAAAGACCCGGATGTGGGACTGCGGCAGCGCCAGCGCGCATGCGCAGCCCCCCCCCCCGCACACAAAATGGCGGCGGTGGCGCAGCTGGAAAAGCCGCGCCCCTCCCTGGGCGCACAAAATGGCGGCCGCGGGGCTTGGCGGCGGGGGGGCTCCGCGACCCCCAAACTAT